TTAAAAATTAAAAAAATTAAAAATATTATAGAGCTTATAGAATAAGGATACAAAGAAAGAAAATATCTGTATAACTGTATAATATGTTTGTATTATAAGCTAAATGTCACAAAAGAGTAAAAAAGTTCAAAAAATAAAAAGTTTATGAAGTAAAATGTTACAGTGAGTTAAGGTTGATTTATCTTAAAATGCATCATTAAATGATGAAAGACTATATATAAAAGAAAATATAAAATAAACTCCTGATTGTCAATATCACAGTTACTAGCATACAAAAGGACTGGATAATGTAAACTATATAAAAGCTACAGCTGCTCCCTCTGAAAGACAATTTGGAAAATATTGGATTTCTTTCTTGGACAAGCCAATTCTCAGTTGAAAAGTATATGCGTGAATGTCATAGGAAATATTTCACCAACGAGTATAAAATTAGGCATCAGCTATATAGTGTATTCTGATTGTTTAAAATTATATAATTTCATACCATGTGAAGTGGGGACCAAAAGGAGACCCAAAGTTTACCTGTACAATGACCATTTATCTACCTGATCCGAATTGTACCCCACATGTTTAGAAAAAATAAAATAAAATTATAGAATTTTAGGATGAAATTGAAGAGTAGAGAGAAATGAAGAGAATATAAGAAAAAAAATGAATTGGGTGTCTTGGGTTTTTGGTTCCATCCTTTCCCTCTTCTTATAAAACCTACTTTCATCAATTAATATGTAAATATGCTCAAGTATGTCTCACAATTGAAAATGAAATCTTCCATTGTGCCTTACATACATTTCAAACCAATACCCTATTCCTCTGATCATTATCAAACATCTCTTAAAGGTTGTCCCCTCTCACAAAATTATAAACTTTGCAGCAACTTGGATGAATTTAGAGCCTATAATACTGAGTGATCTAGCACAGAAACAAAGAACTGAATTACCACATGTTCTCACTCATAAGCAAACCTTGAACAATTATCATAATACTATAAGAAAGGGATTGGCAGTAGTTGAAAACTGCCAGGGCACTGGGGGCGGGGGCAGGATTGGCAGTAGTGGGAAACTGCCAGGGGAGGGGGGGCATACCTCATCAACAAGGGTACCTACATAAGGAGCATTTGTATACCTAACCCTGAATTGTACCCCACATCGTCAAAATAAAAAAATTTTTTTAAAGTTTTTCCCTCTCATTTTATTTCCTTATTTTTACCCTATTCCGCACAAACTAGAATGTTTGTGTCCACATTGCTCTTCTCAAACTGTTGTCATGAGGATCATGAAAAATCTCTGCTCTGCCAAATTCAGTAGACATACTTTCCAGTCTTTATCTTACTCAACCTCTTTGTAAGATTTGGAAATACATTTTGAAATTCTATCCTCCATTGCCTTCTGAGACACTGACTTCTGACTTTTCCCCTTTGTGGCCTGCTATGTATTTGTCAGTTTTGTTGATGGGTACCCCTTTCTCCGTCTAATTCTTAGTGCTCATGCTTCCAAGTTCCACTTCATATTTGTTTCTCGCTTTTCTCTTCTAATGTGCAGGTTGAGTAATTTTATTCATTTCCATGGCTCTGGCCATCACTGATATTCTAACACACATCTCCAGCAAAGTTCCTGACATTCTGACATGGTCATTTTGATTCACCTTCAAAATATACATTTTTGCTTTCATTCTTGTAGGTGCTCATCCTATCCCGGGGCTTCATTCCATTAAATTAAGTATGTTTTACTGTTGAACTCTAGTAAGTCTACCACAAACAAATAGTTCATATAATACTTAAACAGTTAACAGTTTTAGAAAACAATAGAATCCTCAATTCCTTTTATGAAGCTAATAAAACCTGACAAAACTAGTTGAATATAATGTGAAAAATAAACACATCCTTATCAAAATTATAATTGTAAAATTCCAAGTTAAATATTAGCAATTTGAATTTAGAATTATGTAAAATTTATGGTTTATTCAGGAATGCAACAAGAACAAACATGACCATGTAAATAGATACTCAGTAGTCATTTGATAATATACAAAATTCATTCCCAAGTTGAAAATCAAACTGATGTGATTTAGAATTACAGGTCATCCTCTTATAACTGTTTTTTGTTTTGGTTTGGTTTTCATTTGATAGGCAAATTAACCTCTTCTGGACCCTCACTTAACTGTAAAGATGTATCTTGTCCCTTAAATGCCTGGTTAAAATAACATATTTTTTCTTACATAATATTCTTCGTCCTTGAAATTAGATATTAAACATCAAGCTTTTTCCATCAGACTGAAACTACCTCAAAAACATGCATTGCTATCCACAATGTATAACTTATGTTTGAGTATGCATGATCAGTTACAGAATTTGTGAAACCCAATGAAAAGTGAAAAGAGTCATGTGTCCAAAAATAATTAAGAATTTCAAGACGGTGACAGCAGAACATCAAACTAACCACTAGCCCTTCTAAGCATATGCCCATAAAGTTGTGTGTGTGTGTGTGTGTGTGTGTGTGTGTGTGTGTGTGTGTGTGTCTGAATATTTGTCTAGAAAGTTAATTCATAGGGACTTCAGAAAATCTCCATAGATAGAATGATAAATAGACTTCAGGTCACAGACTGTAAAGAGTAGTAATAATAAGTTGGATAACAGTTCAGATAATTAATCAATAAAATATTTTCAGGTTAATAGTAAGTGACTCTTGACTAAAGTTTATAGACGTTAAAAAAGATATTGGTTAACCTTCTACAATTTCCTCTTTAAGTTGACATCATATAATTTTGTTTCAATTTTACATTATATTTATCATTCTGAGAATGTTGTCTTTTCTTTGAATATTTGTTGATTATAATTCATAAAATCTATATACTATTTTGTCTCCTTGTTGGCTTTTCTACACATTCATTGAGTCTATGAGCTCAACATAGTAGTAACCACGCTAAATAGTAAGATTAAAGAAATCATTAATCATAAAACATTAGCATTTTAAAAATTTACAAAACTTTTTATCCCTATTCATCTTATAAAAATAATGTTCAGTTTATTAAAATAACAGCTAATTTGACTTCATTTTAGAATTTTTTCTAAATGTTATTAAATAGTTTATAGACAAAAATAATAATTTGATGTAGTTAGAACATACCCATATTCATACAACCATAAAAATCCCAAATGCTTTATAAGTATTCTCTTCAGAGAGAGTCTTTACATTTGGAGGTAAATCCAGTGAGAAATTTATATCTCCTGCCCTGGATCTCTAAATAATTTCCCCTTGTGCTTCCCAAAAGTTCAGGTATACATAAGGTCTTATTCTGCTAGGCTTTGTGGTTGTCACAAAAAGGATGATGGATTTCCTCTTGTGCAAGTTATTGACAGATGCTCTTTTACTCTGTCCCCGAAAAGTTAAAAAAAAAAAAGATGCAGACCATGAACAGTTACATACCTCAATGCTGCAGTCAGGGATTTTAAATAAATAAATCACCAAGCCAGGTGTGTTTAGTTATAGAATTCATTTTTAAAATTTACTCCAGTTTCCTGTCTCTCCCCACCCAACTCTCACTCTAGGTTCCAAATGGAAATACTTGGCTTTTCCCACTCCATCTGTCTCCTGTTCTCATTCACTCCCCTCATTCTCTTCCTCTTTTCCTTCTATTTCTCTTCTGCCTTCACACACTTTCTCTTTCACACATATTCATTCATGCATTCTCACTCACCTGTTCCTTCTTACTTTGCCACTCAGCAATACTTATTGCTAGTCATAAGCTTGAGACTGTTCTAAGGGGAAATAAGCTAGCCTGGAGCTTAGGAAGGTGTTACCAGGGAGGGTCAGAGAAGTCAGCAGGGCCTACATCACACAGGGCCTTGAAGGCCTGGGACCAAGTGGGGAGTGACCAGAGGACTGGAAGTAGAATCAAATATCCTACTGTTCAGAGGAGAATGAAGGGGTTATGTGCAAGTCAAGCATGAAAGTCAGAAGATCCCTTAGCTTCTGTAATCATCCTACAGGGTTTATTATGGAGGTGGAACAGGCAGGACTTGTCTATGAACTGGATGTGGGAAGAGGAATCAGAGATCCAAGTTTAAGGTTTGAGTAAGTCTGTCTCACCCTAATTCATTGTTCCTTTCTTTTAATTTCTCCTTTGCCTCTTTTTTCTCTTTTCTTTGTTCACACTATAACAATTGGAATACTCTTTACCAGGTCCATGTTCATTCCTATTCAGGTATCAATTTAGAAGTCACAAACTTCGGAAAACTTTTCCGAGGTCCTCACACTGAAACAAAGGCAAACTCACTGCTGTCATCTCCCTCACGACGTCAGTGTCTACGTTATTGCATTATTCACAAGGACTTGTAACAAATATGGACACTGGAGCCAAGAAGCAGCAGGGTTGTGTTCAAACTCTGTTAGCTTAGTAAACTCTGGCAAGTTACTTAAGGAAGTCTCTGTTCCCACATCTGTAAAATGCAGATAAGAAAATAGTCTACCTCATAGAAAGTTTTGCATGAGACGATATATGTAAAATGCTTAGTACAATACTGGCAGAGAGTAAATGCTAGATAAACAATAGCCGTTATTATCGCTGAAGTTGTTACTGGCTGACATTGCCCACCTTCGTCTAAACAAGGTTTCTGTATAATAACAGAAACCAAACCAGTGCAGGAAAGACCTAGATAATTCAGATTCAGGAAGAAATGAACACCTCAGTGATACACAGTCAAGATGGACAGTTTGATTTATTGGCCAGTCCCGTTAAATATGCACCCGGAAGTCATAGTTATTAACTATTATAGTCAGTTTCCACGTCCGCCACGTAATTTGGGGTTTGATTTTCCAAAGATACCACTTACCAGATTAGGTGGACCCACAGGATTATTTTTCCTTGAGGTCCCACCTCAGCAGGTGCATGCACATAAAATAGAGCATAAAGAGACTGATTAGAGAGGTTGGAAGGTAGAGGGCGTGACCCTCTTAATCATTCTTCACTTCCTTTTTTAAAAAGACGACTTGGCATCGTCCACCACATTCGCGGCTGGAGCTGCAACACCTCGTCGGTGTCCTCCTCCTGCTATAGTCCAGCTCGTGTCCTGCTTGTGTTTCCGTGGACATATTAGCAACTGATGATTCTAACTCCCAGTCGCCCAGCATTACCAAGGCGTTTAGAGGTCATCTGGAATCTTTGACCTCGAATCGCTCTGATTCAGAAAGTCAGCGAGTTTCTCCTGCGGTGCTTTGGAAATTCGCGCCCTCCTCTGGTCCTGGTCCAGGTGTACGGGAAGCAGGTGCCCAGGAGAGGGGGGTCACGACGGCGCCCGGATGATAATCCCAAAGATTGAACCTGCAGACCAAGCGCAAAGTAGAAACTGAAAGTATACTGCCGGCGGATCCTACGGAAGTTATGGAAAAGGCAGAGCGCAGAGCCGGGCCTTGGTGTGTGCCGCCCCCCCTGGGATGGATGAAACAGCAGGCACGACGTGGGTGAGAGGAACAGGCTTCAGAGATCGCCCGCCGGGCACGGACTCTCGGCCACTCCGCGGAAGACCAGGGTCCTGGCAGTGACTATGGGCGGTGAAAGCTTGCTCCTGCTACAGCTGCGGTCATCATGACCACGCCCGCCTCCCGCAGACCATGTTCCATGGTAAGCGCTCCTCTCCCCGGCGCGCAAGTTCGCGCGCCACCGCGCCGGGGCAGTCCGGGACGCGCTGCGGGTCCCCGCGCCGAGGCACGTCCGGGAATAGCCCAGCCTTGCACTTTGGACCTGCACGGGCTCTCCCACGGGCGGCCGCCAGCCGCGCCTGAGTGCCCTGGCCCACAGCCACTTGCACCTGGGGCTGTGCGCCCGGCAGGCTGCGAGAAGCAGTCCCCGACGCCTGCTTTCTGTCCCGAGATCAAGCGCTACAGCCTCCGCGCCGCTCAGCGGCGGCAGCCCACAGCTGGGTCTCAGAGGTAGCCAAAGCTTTTCTGTCTGTCTGTCTGTCCTCAGCCAACTCTGCCTTCTGCCGACCCCGGAGCCCAACCCGCCTTGCCCGTGCTCCTGGCCGCGCCAAGTTACTCACGCTGGGGGCCCAAGTTCGGCGAGTCAGCTGCGCTCTCGTAGCTCCGAACTCCCTAGAGAAGTGAAAGCGAAGCTCCCACGGGACGCGCTTTTAAACCCTAAGGGGATAGGTCTCCGGAAAACCCCGTTTTTCCCCCTGAGTAAGGCTGGGAGTTTCCGTCTGGGGCTGTACCTTGCGCCCTTTGCTGGGAACCCAAGTCCTGGTTTGGCAATGGGAAAGATCCGCTTCTGTTTTTTCATACATGTGCGCTCCTTGATGGAAGGAGGATTAAGTAGACATGACTATAAATTTTAGACCCTTGTTGAAGTCTAATATATTTTATTTTGCGGAATACGGATTTTAAATGGACAAGGGCAGAATTAAGGCGGGTTAGATTCCATTGGCAGTCGCGTATGATCAATGTAAAGAGTCCAAAAAAATAACTGGTAGAAAAAAGAGGCGAAAAGGATGTGAGGGGGAGAGGATCTGCTTAGGGAAACTGGAATGTTTTACAGTAAGTGCTTCCTCAAGCACAAGAGGATGGGCGGGGGAGGGTGCTGGAATAGGAAGCAGAGGACTCTTCCACTGGATGGTCTGTGCCCTTTCCTGGCTACTCTGTTAGATCAAGAGTCCTTTGCCCTCTCATAGGTATTAAAGAATCAAGAATTGACATAACCAAGAAGTACCAGCTCAGTAACAAAATAAGGGTAGGGGAGAGGGCGAACATCTAAGATAATTATGGAAGAAGATTTGTAAGGAGTGTCCTCCAGGAGTTTAATATGAAATTAGAAATTGTGCACATCCCTGTTTTCATTGCAATGCCTATTACCTCTTTCTGGACCACCCTTGGTTCTAATCCTTGCATCACCTCTTCTCTGAAGTAGAATGGTAAGCAGAGAAAAGGAAGCTAGGTGGTGCATTTTTTAACAAAGAGTTTTTATATCCGGAAGTACATCGATATTAATCATGCAGTATATGTTTTTATTAGAGGACAAAATATTAACATTTTAATAATGATGACAATGAATGGCTTTCTGCGTTTTGTTTCAAGAGATTTCACTAGAAGCTTGAACTCCATGAGGAGCTCACTTAGAATTTATCTTTATCCTTTGTATTTGCAATTTTGGGAGTTGAAGTAGTTGAGGACCTATACTATGTGGTCTCCAAATATGCTATCTGGTTTTGATAATTCCATCATATTTGAGGACCAAAATAGTAGACTGGTTATAAAAACAGAGAACTGAGAAAGATTAGAAAGCCTGAACAGATGTGAAGAAGAATTACAAACTACACTGCATTAGTGTTTAAATATCTTAAACAAAAATGGAAAAGGCTATTGAATGGGACCAACTTGCAAGTCATATTCATACTCGTGTGAAATTTTTTTTCTGGTTTTATCCCAGATACATAACCTACTGTAATAAGAGCAAATACTTAGTGTCTTTTTTTTTTTTTTTTTTTTGTCCTGAAATAAGAGCATATTTTGCAGTTTCACAGTTTGGGCAGGAAGTGCCTTAGTAAGGTTCATGCAGAGGAAGATTTTTTTAGTATATTCCCTTTGACTACACATACACAATTCTTTTTATAGGAAGCAGTGTAGTTCAGTAACTAAAAGCTGAGTTTTAGACTTTTCAACTGAACAAACTTGGATTTGGTCCTGGACTCTTACTAGATTATTATATATAGGAAATTTTTTATTTGTGCTCCAGACTCTCCATCTGTAAATGGGAATAACTTATAATACTTACCTCATGAAGTGGTTATGACATCAAATTCCCCGTGGAAATAGGTCTGTGTAATGGATATTCAGTAAATATTGGTTTTAAAAATTGATAAAAGACTGGATTTGATGGACTATAGAAAACAATTTATTTATGTTCACTTTGACCCCCATAACTTAAGCAGCTGAGGATTGAATGTATTATTTGGCATAAATTAAAAACCAAAAAGAATTTTTAGAAACCATCATTCTGGTTCGACCAAATTCCCCATTGAAAACAAATTCTCCAGTTTCAATCCCTTCAGGAGATCTAAAGACAATCCCACAAGCCCACACTTGCCTTGCATTATTCCCTATGGTTTATCTTTTCTGTAACCTAATGAAAAGTTCATGATGGGGAGGGAAAGGGTGGTGTGACAGCAATGTCAGAATCATTCTCAAACCAGACAGTCTCAGTATGTTGCTCTCAATGTGGTGTAGGAGAAAGGACTTCAGTTACAGACCAAACTATACATCATTAATGAGAGAACCTATGAAAGGTAGATTCAGCCCTGGGTGTGTTTGCAGCATTGTCCCTGAGGCAATTTCAAATCTAAAGAGTCTGCATTTGATTCTTAGAAGGTAGATTCTTAGAATTAAGTTGCCTTATAGAGGAAAGAGAAACCATTTAGTCTGAAGTCTTTATTTTAGAAATCAGGTAAATGAAGCTTAAAAGAGGCTTTGTCATTCACTCAGTCATATGACCCACTGTCATGGCAAGACAAACATCTCTGGTCTCCATATTTCAGACTCTCTATGCTTTGCATTGCCCTAGTCCAAAAGTGTCTAGTCTTTTGGCCTCTCTGGGCTGCATCAAGTAAAGAAGAATTGTGTTGGACTGCACATAAATGACATAATATAGTTAGTGAATATATATAATAAGACTTCCTTTTTTGCATTCTTATCATTAAGTTTAGAAAAATGGAAACAATATAAAACTAATGGGAAATTTGACCTTGTTTTTGTAAAACTAAATCTATCAATGTCTGGATCCATAGAAGTGGTCACAATTCTTAGTGAGTTCTTAAGGTGTTTGTCAGAAATGTTTGTTTGAATTTTGCTCATCATGTGCTTCATAATTGAAAACAGCTGCTCACAAATGTATGTGCTGCCAAAAGGCGATGTCACAAATAAGGTGTGATTGTGAACTTCAAAAATGGAACACTGCATGGGGTCACGAAAAAGATAAATGCTAAAAAAACACATGATGCCAAAAGATTTTGTGGGGCCACATAATTAGCTGTCTTGAACTACAAGTAGCCTGCAGGCTGCGAGTTGGACACGCCTACTCTAATCTATCTGAGGCTAATTATTCAACAACAACAATAGCAACAGCAAACACTATTTACAGGCAAGGCAAATTATGTTTCAAAACTGAGAAACTAGTTGTAATATACAAAAACTCAGAGTTTACAAGAGGATGCAAACAAGACACTATGGCAGGCTTATAACCAAATTTTAATGTTTCTGGGATTCATTGGCTTTTCATCTTTACTACACTAAATGATATCATTCATTATTTCATTCCTTTTGACTAGACAGTTGTCCTTAATTGGAAAAGGTTATCAAACACATATAAATCATTGGTTACTAGTGTGTTAATTTATTTATTGGGTTTTTCTAACATAGAAAGAAGCTGGACAGACTATGTTTGAAAATGATATGGGTCTCTGGGTGCTTAGAAACAGAAGATAATAAAAGGATGAAAAGAGGAGTCCAAAAATACAAATGTAGACTTAATGTAAGAGTTTTGGAAACATTATATCCTTTGAGGTTTATCATGAAGAAGAAAGAACATAGCCATGGTGCAATACCATAGAGATTAACCTCCCTCAGTACTGCTTCCTGGAAGTAACTGGACACATGCTACCGTCAATTATTACTACCGTCAAGTTATATAATTACCCACCCTATCTCATAAAATTTCAATAATGTGTAACTCTTTTAACTGCAATGTACCTCTTTACCTGTGGATGCCTTTCTCATGGGGATGTGCAGCATAAATTCACATTGAATAAACTGTCATTATATCCTGAAAATATTTTTCAAAAGCAAAGAATCTCCGATTTTATCATACTGGTTTTGCACTTTCCCAAAGAGTAATTTCAAAATAAAAAGTAAGAGGAGCCTACACTTCAAAATGCTGTCCCACTTCAGTTGTAACTTAATTTCAACCTTCAGGGCTCTTTCTGCACTGTCTTCAAACCAAGATGTATTTTTAAAGTTATTAGAAATAAGTAGTCAAGGCCACTGAAACCCAACAATAAAATGTAATATGCAATACATTTAGCTCATTCTTATTTACTGTTGAATTTAGTTTCTTTTAGGTATATCTTTGGAATTCCTCCCCTGATCCTTGTTCTATTGCCAGTAGCATCATCTGATTGTGAGATTGAAGGTAAAGATGGCAAGCAATATGAGAAAATTCTAATGGTCAGCATCGATATATTATTGGTATGTGCTTATTTTGTTTTTCTCACATTTTCATGCATTGGGAAAATCTGAAATATGCTTTTTGTATGCAGTTTATAGTCAAGTATTTATATTGCTTGACAAAAAGTGAAATAAAGTTTAATGAGCTACTAGCTGTGTATTATTATAGTTGGCATCATTATATTGTTTAAAAATAATTCTTTCCTAAACCTTAAGACTACTGTCCATTTCAGTCCTATTTCCTGTCACTACCAAATTTCTCATAAGCATAATTCAGCATCACCGCCTTCATTTCCCCACCTCCCATTTATCATGCTTGTCCCTGTGGAAGCATGACATTAGGAGAGGGAAAAGAACAGAGTACAACATTTAATATTTACAGTGTGGCTGGGTGTAGTGACTCATGCCTAAAACAACAGCACTTTGGGAGGCCAAGGTGGCAGAATAGCCCAGGAGTTCGAGACCAACCTGAGCAACATAGTGAGACCACTACAAAAACCACAGAAATTAGCTGGGTGTGGTGGCATGAGCCTGTAGTTCCAATTATTTGAGAGGCAGAGGCAGAAAGATTGCCCGAGCCCAAGAGGTTGCGGCTGTGGTGAGCCATAATTGTGCCACTGCACTCCAGCCTGGGTGACACAGCGAGATACTGTATGGGAAAAAAAAAGATTTATGATGAAAAGAGATGCATAGTTACGTTACTTAAATGTGTATAAATGCATATATGTGTATGTGTGTATATATTTGATGCCAGTGTAATGTATAATTTGGTGAGTTAACTTTTTTTATTTGTGACAAAGTTTTTCAAATTAATCAATTTTTATTTCAGAGTAGTTTTAGGCTTATGGAAAATTTGAACAGAAAGTAGAGAATTCCCATATACCCCATTTATCTCTGTACAGTTTCCCCAAATATTATCATATTGCATTAGGAGAGTGCATTTGATATGATTGATGAGCCAATATTAACCCATAATTATTAAAGTTTATAGTTAACATTAGAGTTTTCTCTTTGTATAGTACATTTTTATGGGCTTTGATGAATGTATAACATCATGTATCCATGATTATGATATCGTAAAAGATAGTTTAGCTGCCTTAAAAATCCCCTGTGCTCCACTGATTCATCCTTCCCTTCCTTTTCCTGAAGCCCTGGCAACATTTGATCTGTTTATATCTCTGTAGTTTTGCCTTTTTTTAGTATTTCATATCATTGTGATTATGCCTTATAGTTACAGTATTTAGCCTTCTTAGACTAAATTCTTTCACTTCAATGTGCATCGAAGTCTCCTACATGCCTTTTTGTGGCTTGATAGCTCACTCTTTCTTATTGCTGGATAATATGTCACTGAATGGATATACCACAGTTTGTTTATCCATTCAGTGATGGAAGGATGTGTCTTGCTTGCTTCCAATATTTGAAAATTATGAATAAAGCTATAAACATACACGTGCAGGTTTCTGTTGAACACAGGTTTTAACTCAAATTACAGTTCTTACAGCAGGATATGAGCATGATTGCTGGATCATATGGCAAGACTAAGTTTAGCTTTGTATAAAACTGCCAAACTCTTCCAAAGCAGCTGGAGTTGTTGCATTCTTACCAGCAATGTATGCGATCTTAATGTTTTCCAACCTTACCAGCATTAATGTTGCCAGTGTTTTGGATTTGGGCCATTCTAATGGGTGTGTCATCACATCTCATTGTTTTTTTAATTTGCAATTAGCTAATGACATATAATGTTGAGTCTCTTTTCAGATATGTATTGCAATCTGTATATGTGCTTTGGTGAGGTGTCTGAATGCACATCTTCTCTGATATCTTAACAATATTGAGTCTTCCTTTCTTTTATTATGGAATAGTTCTTCATTTATTTAGATCTTTCTTTGATTTGTTTTATTAGGGTTTCATACTTTTCATCATATAAATCCTGAAAATGTTTTTAGACATTCCTAAATATTTCATATTTTAGTGCTATTATAAATATGTTTTTAATTCCAAATTCCAGTTGTTTATTGCTGATATATAGGGAAGCAATTGATTTTTGTATATCAACTTGAATCCTGCAACCTTGTTATAATCACTTATTAGATCTAGGGGTTTGTTGCTGTTATTGATTCTTTGGGATTTTCTACATCATGTCATCTGCAAGAGTTAATTTTTTTAAGCCTTAAGCTCTGTATCAATGCAATGTGATTTATTAATGTAACAGATAACCAGTCCTTTCCAACAGATTGAAGCCCCAAATGGCAAATGAAAACTCTCAAATGTTTATAAAAATGGAATAAATTATCTAATCTATCCCCTCTTTTCACTCCACTGTCTCACATACTCATACTGAAGTGGCATGATACTTTGGGAAATTCAGTGTTATACCTCTTGGAGGAATATAGAAAATTCAAGGTGATATTGTACTACACTGTACACTGTACTAGAGAGGTTCCTAATGTTTGCCCATTGACAAGAAAAAGAAGTGCACACTAAATGGTAATTTCTCTATTTACATTTTTTGATATTTTTTATGTTGTCTGCATTAAATGGTGCTACTGAAATCATCTTTTTAACTAGGTAATATTTCTCATTTAATGTTATTATCTGTACAGAGAATCACCTAGTATTAGTTCAACAACACTTATCAGTAACTATATGTGTGTATACAATTCTGCAAAAAAAGGGGTGACTACTGAAAATTTAAAAGAAGAGCTTCAACCAACAAATTCATGACACATTTTTTAGGGGAGTGGGCTATAGAGGAGCTCATCTCAACACACTCAGCAAGAACATTAGCAACAATGATGCCACTTAAATTTTAAAAAATGGCTACTCCTCTTGAGATTAATCCACAAGACAAGGAAAAGTATACAACTAATCAATCCAACTGTGTAGTGTTATAATTTAGAATGTTTTCCATAAATGGGAGATAATGAATACAAGAGAACTAGAAAGACAGTTACAATGAGTTTTTCGTATCAATATGACTGGTAGAGCAAATTTAGTCACTCATTCACTCAGTGTGTATGGATATAACTGTTTAAGTCTCAGAAAAATCTTAATAATACTGATATTTATGCAGAGCTTGTTATGGTCAAAATGTTTTCCATGTGCTAACTGGTTTCATAGTTACAACACTCCTTGCTAACTCTTATTTCACAATGGAAGCATCTAAGGCCTAGGGTTACCCAATCTGTAAGTGGCAGAGCCAGGATATTTGCCTGTGCTTTCTATCCCACTCTACTGTCTCCCAATAGCAATCTCTGTGATTGTTTATTAATTCAGAAAACATTTATCTGGGACCTGGTATGCACAAGTTATGATGGAAGACCTTTCTGTGTGGGTGGTGGTGGGGTTGGATATGAATGCAAAGATGCACCAGTATAGATTCATATGTATATTGTAAATATATAAAATGTAAATATCATGCCAGGCTAAGTTGTAAGACCGGGTAAGTAGATTCTTCTTTTAAGAAGCTTACACTTAGCCGGGCTTGGTGGCTTAGCCTGTAATTCCACGCCTTTGGGAGGCTGAGGTGAGTGGATTGCCTGAGCCCACGGGTTCGAGACCCGCCTGGGCAGCAAGACCTCATCTCTACAATAAATCAAAAAATCAGCCGGGTGTGGTAGCGCATGCCTGTAATTCCGGCTACTTGGAAGGCTGAGGCGGAAGGATCGCCGGAGCCCAGCAGGTCGAGGCTGTGGTGGCCGGGAGCGGCCACTGCACTCCAGTCTGGGCGACAGAGTGGGACTCCAACTCAAAAAAAAAAACAAAAAAACCTTACACTTTGGTGATGGTTAAGGCTTGGTGGTAAAGAATGCAAGATGCATCTTTGAAAACAGGAAAAGTAACAGCTATCCTATCATTTATAACAAATAGAGTGATGTGAGACAAGCTCAGAAACACAGAGAGAGCCATAAACCGTGTTCTAGAAGTAGAAGAGGAGATCAGTTCTGGCTAAAGGAATGGCACCATGTTGTGGGAAACTGAGCTGATCGCTAATAGTTTTAGATCGTATACCCCTTTCATACAATTTCTTGAGCTTATACTTCCAATATACATTTAGCATTGATTTATATATAATATATATTTCTATATCATAGTGCTTTCATAGCATTTTATATAAATTCATAATAATACACATAAGAATGAAAATTTACAAAGAATGAGATAAAAACAAAACATGGAACTTCTAACATTTCCTTCCAGTGGACCTGGAATACAGTCATAGAAGTAAGAAAATAGAAATGTTGCTGATAATAATATAGACTCCAAATTGGACCAAGGTTAGGATGAGACTCATTCTCTCTTCCTACTTCAGAAGGAAAGGGGGGTTCATAATAAATAATAAGGTTCCTCATTCTACATGGTCTACCAATTATGGAATACATATTTCTGGAACTAGGATGACAGAGTTAAATAGAATCATAATTTTAACCTTCTATATACTGTAACCAAATTATTTTCTAGAAAATAGTGGATCAATTTACAGTTCTTACAGCAGGATATGAGGTCATGAGTGTTGTCAGCTTTGATGATTTTTATTCTTAAAACTGTCTTCCAATGCAATAATAACTTTTTGTTTTGATTTACATTTCTTTGACTGATAGAGACATTGAATTTTTAAGTTTATTAATCACATATCTTTCTCTGTTTGATTGTAAAAATAAATTGATGCACAATTTATTTTTGAGCGTGAACAATTCTGTAGCTTTTATTATACAGGCATATAGGCATAGCTCTTTATACTGTGCTTCACTTTAGTGCTTCGCAGATATTCCTTTTTTTTTTTTACAAATTGAAAAATTGTGGCAACCCTGCATCGAGCAAGTCTGTCAGCACCATTTTTCCAGCAGGAGGTGCTCATTTCATGTCTCTGTGTCACATTTTGGTAATTCTCCTAATATTTCATACTTTTAAACTATTATTATATCTATTGTGGTTATCTGTAACCAGGCATCTTTGATCTTACTATTGTAAATATTTTGGGATGCCATGAACCATTCCCATATAAGACAGCAAACTAATTC